ATAATATTCTAAAACATTTTTTACACAGATTACAGTACTATGCTAAAATTAGACAACATTATGTTTCTTTATAACTTATTAAAAAAATTAAAACAAATGAACTCTTTACCCAGAAAGTTCAGGAACCACTTCCTATATTGCAATATGACGAATGAAAGCGCATTCACCACTAATAACCGATTAAAGTCCAAAAAATTCCAATCCCCAAATCAAGTCCCAATTTGGGTAATAACCCACTCTTAAAAAAATGGGAAAACCCAATGATCCCTTCAAAATCCCTCCTTTCTCACAAAAGATGAAACAAACAACAAAGACCACACCCAAATGACATGAACTCAAAAAAAAAGATTAAAAAAATACCTAAAACTGGTCAAAACCCTAATGTGAACAGTCTCATTAGGGTTGCACTCTCCAAGCATCAACAAGATAGTACTTTATGATCTTTTTTATTAGATTATAGTACTACACCAATACTAGACGACATTCCCTTTCTTTGTATACTTCCAATTCCTAAAACTGGTCAAACCCAATCCTAGTAACACCTTTTCTTAAAAAAAGAACTTTTACCCAAAAAACATCAAGACCCACTTCCTATGTTGCAACAAAACAAATAAAAACCCCCCTTTCTCATAAACTGCAATCCCTAAATCAAGTAAAAGAAAACCATATAAAATCAAAAGGAAAAGGGAAAGGAATTACCTTGCGCGAGGAGTCTTTGAACGGCCTCATTAGGGTCCATGTTGCACTCTCTAAGCATCGCATAGATCTCCTGCTCACTGCAGTTCACGATCTCCTTCAGATTCTGCACTGTTTCCCTCATCTTCGAAGGAATCGAAGAAGAGAAGGTCGAAGATTTCTTGCCGCTCATCTTCTTCTTTTTCTACTTTCTCTCTCTTGTTTCTTCTCTCTTTCTCTCTCTAGATTCTTGCGAGTGAATAAAGAAGCCAAGGGGTAGTTTTTTTTCCTTTTCTCTTTTTGGGTATTTATAAAGAGGGCGTGGGGTTTTAAACTTATTAATTTTACTGGATTTATGCGTAACGATAGGCATGAGGGATGAGGAAGGGTTTGGACTGCATTGGCCACCGTTGGATGAGAGAGAAGATAGATTTTAAAATGTTTTTCTTCTTCTTTTTTTTCCTTTTTTATAAAAGAAAGGCGGAAGTAAAAGATTATGTGGGCTGGCGGTTTTTATTTTGTGTTTGGATGTGGGCTTGTAATTTGAAGTTTTAATGATCTATTCTATTTTATTATCAATCTATTTATCTATTCTATCTATCTATCTATCTATCTATTTTTTTAGTACTAAAGTAATTGGCCGTTATGGTTCTACATCACGTGTCATTTTCTCCATCAATCTCTTTCCTAGTAAACAAGCAATAATAAGCTTTCTTCACCAGTAGCGTAGGTAGCCTGGGGCGTAGTCATAAAACTGCTAACATTCCCAGGTTCCCGGTTCGATTCCATTTGCTTAGCCTGAAGCGTGAGAATGGAATATGTGTGCCAGCCACCCAGGGTTTATTTCGTAGGCATCGAAGATGGACTCAGATGATGGCTTGGGGATTCTTGCGTCTTGCAAAGGTTTTTCTCGTGTTGTAAAAAGATATATGGTGTGTTTCATTACGAGTAGTTAGAACCCATGCTGCTTTAACTACATCTAAATTTCAAAAAGCGTATGTTAGATGTTGTTGCAACATTGAAAAAGTTATTGCAATAACAAAATAAACCAAAAATGTTTGTTTGGTTTGCTTTATAAATAAATTGTAGCAAATGTTGCAATAGTAAATGTTGCATGCGACGTTTATTGTAGGATATCAACTTCAAATTTGTTGTTTGGATATATACAATTATATAGTAGAAAATGTTTTTTCCATGTAAAATCATTGTTTGGTTAAAAAATAATTAGTACAAAAGCTACATAATTTTGTCATAAAAGAAAACTTGGTGTCAATGGTTTTTCTATTTGGATTTAAAAAGATTTTTTATGAGGTGAATGTATATATTTTTTTTCTTTATTTTTTATTTTTTTAAGCTTGTAGATTTTCCTCTCACCAACTTGGCATTAGCATTTGTTGCAAGTCTTTCTACAAAATGCAAATCTATTTATGCTTTTTAACTATAAAGTTGGAAACCAAACAATGCATTTACAATTATTGTTGCTATATTTACTCTTGCAATTTCATTTCATCCAACCAAATAACCACTCAAATTCAAGAGTGTTGCAACACCATGAGTTGGAACACTAGCATCATTTGTTACTCTAACTCACATTTGTTGCAACACCATGAGTTGGAACACTAGCAACATTTGTTACTCTAACTCACATTTGTTACTCTAACTCCTCCTAACCAAACATACTCATAGTTGCCTTTGCTTGTGGTTTTAACATATATTATTACATTTGCAAGTAGTTGCAACTTGTATTGCAGCAACTCTCTACAAATTTTTAGTGCATATGCAACACCCTCATTTTTACCATATGTTGGTGTTACGATAATCTTCTCGTGTTGTAACAACATACAATCAAGCATACATAGACGTAGTTAGAACAACATATTGCTCTTGCGGCTACATGTGTTGCTCTAACACCCTCTAACTAGACATACCCTAATTATCAAAACTCTTTGTGTTATGTGCTTATTCATTTTTAAAAACCTCCATCTGTTCTCAATTCTTACAAGTCACGACTCAGAGGTTGGCAATAAATTTCAACCATCATTCAATCCTATTCTCATTATACCATACGCTAGCTAAGCCTAGCTAATCTTAATGCATAAGTCTAAACATTATTTTCTTCTTCTTGTTATTCTACTCTCCATAATTTCATCTCTTTGAGCCCTTCCAACTTCCATACTATAGGCATCTTTTTTAGTCCTCTCTATTATAATGCACATTTTCCCTTCATCATCATTAATTTCAGTAGCGATGATTTAAATATCTTCATAATTTTTCTCTGTCAATGTCTACAAATTTTGACAAAAGTGAATTACCTTCATTATTTGTATCTCAGACTACCTATGAAGCATTGAAAAATGCAACAACCTTTTAAATTTCTTCAATCAGTCATTATATCTTATGACTCTATAAAATCCAATGCGCTGATCATGACCAAAAGTTCAAAATTGTTAATGATGGTCATAAACCTTTAAAATTAATTTCTTTGAATTAACTTTGATACTTATGCTAATAGGTAAATCTAAGATTATTATCACTATGTTAATCCTCTCCTTGCAATCAAAGAGTGCATCCGTGTGACGTTGACAACTATCATATGCATTGAGAAGAGTATAATTGGTTCTATAACTCCTTTAAGAAATATAGGAAGAAAATAAATAATTAGTTCTATAACTCCTTCAAGAAATATAGGAAGAAGAAATTTTTGGTGTAACAAGTATTATGAATATGTAGGTTTGTTCTGCCAAGATATTAGTTGTGTTCATCTTGATCATCATAATATACCTAGAATTATCGTTGATTATTATTATGTATCTTAACTATGAAATAGATACAAAGTGTAGATTAGAGTTATAGATGATATTGAAAGTTCCCCATTCGACATATTTGATCATGAGGTTTGATGAATACTAGAAAAATTTGCATTTGATTTAAGAGATTAGATGATGAAGGCAAGACATTATTATAAATGAATTAATTTCAAATTAGAAATTGACCCTTTTGATTTTTAATTATTCCTTTTGTGACTAAATGTTGGTAAATCTTAACATTAATCAATCTTCTTCACATGCCTAAAAATAATATTTTTCCCAATGAAGTGAATGTGTTGTTAGAGAAGAAATTTCTATCTAAAACTGAAATTTTAGAATACAATATAAAAAATGGTATATTTATGTTTTTGTTAGAATGAGTAAAGATGAGAAGCCGATAAATTCTTTCTTGAGCATATCTAATACAATTCAAATAGTATTGAACTTTAAGATAATACTTATTTGAAAGATGTTTATAATTTAAAAAACAGAGTATGTATAAAAATAGAGTTATTAAGGCATATTACTCTTAATTTGCATTTATTTGTAGGACTAGGGAGGATAGGTTCATCCCTGAACTATATTGAATCTGTGAAATAACTTAATAAAAATAGAAAATGTGTTGCCTTCAAATGAGAAATCTCTTGAATATCGGTATTCACTAAATATTAAAAAGGAGTCATCTTAAATACCACATGAACATGTTGCAGTATAAAAGATGGAGGGTGAAGGACATTTAGGAGGGCAGTTTTCGAAGATTTTTGAAGGGAAGCAATGGAGGCTAGAAACTGCTCCTCCATGTCACAACAATGGTAATCATTTCGCTTTCTCCTATCAGTGCTTGCATGTAGCCCAACGTTCGCAACCAATTTACCGCTCTCTGCTCCCAAAACTTTTTTCATCCATGTTTTCAAAGAACAACTGTACCCCCCTTTCTCTTAACCCTCCAGTTTCTCATAAGGGCATTCTTCCATTGCCTAAACATTTGTTAGATCCAAATCTCGGTGATGGTTGGACTAAGGTTTTCTACAAAAAGAGATCATTTTCTTCTAGAGGATGGCATGCTCTTCCTCTTCCTCTTCATCCATCAAAAAATTGTTTTTTGTCACCAGATTAATCACATGGCTAGGGAATGCCCTGAAGGTGACCTTATTTGTTTTAGATGTCATGGCAAAGGCCATATTTCTCGGGATTGCCTTTATGCGGCAAGATACCTTGCTCTCTCTCCTATTATCAATCTTCCACCATAAACCCTAAGCGTCATCAAAGACCTGGGATCCTTTGCTATCTTCTACCTATTTTTGGATACTCCATTTCTCTCCGAACTCCAAGAGATGCTTGTGTACCATATCAATTTGAAGAATTGGCCCTACAAGATCGCTACGACTGCGGGAACTAGCTTTATGGTTCGATTCCCTAATGATGATCTTATTGATCAAGTTGAAGCGATGAAGATCATTGATATAGGATTCTTTAGAGGTGGATTCTATCGATGGCATGAAGAGCTCAGTCTCAAAGTCCTTTTAAAATCATTCTTGACTTGGGTCCGTCTCTATAGGTATCATATCATCTCTGGGATTGGAACTTTATTCAGGTCCTCCTGAAGGATGTTGGGGAATGCATCATGAGCTCTAATAATATTGTTTTTACTCTAATTTCAGCAATTGTAAGGTTCTTATTGAAGTTGGGGATATATCTCAAATCCCTAAGGAGATCAAATCCAGATATGTCTCCTCGACTGACGGTATCTTGATGGAAGGATCCACCATTACTCAAATCATTGGTAAACCTATTTCGGAGAGGGCTTTTGAAAAGATGGAAAGTCGAGAGCACTAAGCTAAACGGGAGGGTAGCACATCTACAGAATCTGGCTGGGTTGATAGAGGGAACCATGAGGAGGAGATTAACCAGAGGTGGCCAGCCATGAGGGTTTCGACCTTGTCGGCGGAAAAGATGAAATACAAAGGCAATTTAGTCCTTTCACTTTTAAATTCAAATAAGGCGGGGTTTGATAAGGTTGTTAAGGAAACAGCAGATACAAGCAGAGTCTAGGAGATCCCGTATCAATTTAGGGCCAAAGACCGAGACCAATATGGCAGAACAGGAATTGATTGAGGTGGTCTAGAATGGCAATAATATGATGATGGAGCGGGCCCAATGGATAGTTTTTTTGACTGTCCAAGGTGCGAGTGGTTCTAATGTCCCACAAATTTCTCCTCTACCTACTGCTAACTCTGCTGCTGAATCTTCTTCTGATTCTCTGAAAGCTCTCAGGAAGGAAACTTCGACTTCTATTCCTCCAGAATTTGAGCATCTTAATGAGGGTGAAAAGAAGAAGCTTATTGGAAAGGCCAAGGAGGTGGGTAGAACCATAAGTCATAAAGTATAACTGCATCATCTAGCGGCTTCCAGATCTCTTCTTTCATCCTCCAAATGGGGTAAATCATCATCATCTTCTGCTTCAGTATCATTAACTTTGAATATGAAGCCTGA